CGGGCGGGTCAGGAGAGGTCTGCTGCACCATGTGGTCACCTCCGGGGCAGGCGGGAATCGAACTCATGGAGAAGTGGCTTAAGCTTCTTAGTGCAGTGCTTTAACCCGCTGCGCCACCAGGGAGGGCCCCTATGCGGAAGTTTTACTTCACAGCCTTACCTCTGTTCCTGGGCCAAGAGTGAGTTTATATTTTTGATGGAACTTAAAAATAGCTGGATTAAAGGATCAGGTCATCTATTACCTGGGGAAGAGGGTTTCTCATTTAAATGTCATTGAAACATCGTGCTTTAGTAGGATGTAGTCTGGGTTATTCAGTGCGTAGAAACCTGGGTGTGCAGCAGGAGCGGATGCTGGGGTAATTTGGGTCACCCTGTGCATTGAGGCTAGAAGCCCTGGAGGTTGAAGCTGGTAAGGGCATGTCAGGAGGTAACAGCCTGAGGGTGCTGGACCTTGCGGAGGCTGAGGGGAGGGGAGTGAGCAGCTGCCTCAGCCTCTTGGCTCCTGTAGCAGGGGACACCTTTCTGGTGTCCCCCTCGGTCCAGATAGAGCTCCTCTGGAACATGCACCTCTTTTGAGGTTTCTGCTGATGATATGTGCAGCCATAGGATGTCCTAGGGAGGAAGAATTGCCCCTGCTGTGTACATCACCCCAGCCAGCCAGGCGCCGGGGATCTGGTGTGTATTCTGTGACAGTTAAACAGGCTTCTAGATTCTCACCTGTGCTGCTGACCCCTGTGTGGGTGACGAGCACAGATGTTGTACGTTAACCCACACCCAGTTGCCTTGCGTCACTTGGAAACACTTGGGTAAATAGCAATTTTCTATATAACCTGGCTGTTATAATAAAAGGAGGTCTTAGGCAAGATTCAGGCATTCACACAGACATTTAAATTAAACACTATTTGTAAAAGTAGGTAGGGAAAACTTACAGCTCTCTAAGATTCTAGAGGTTCCAACCCCACCTTGCATGAAAACAGCTGTAGCCCTTTTGTTGCAGACAGGGGATTCTGTCCCTTACAGTTGGTTAAACAGCACCTTTCTCTGAACCAATGGTTGGGGATTGTAGTTGACAGATCTCATGCACCAACCCTAAGATTAGCCAAGTGCTCTCTCTTGTGTATCTATGTGTTCATGAAAAGCTAGAAAAAGTCTCTAAAACACAAATTTGAACTCCACCCCTTTCACCTCTAATATTCGTTGTGCTATTGACAAAAATCCCTAATTTCTTTGATAAAAACCCATTTCTCACCTTCATTGTGTCACTTAGCCAAGCCTCAGGGGTGCTGTGAGCCTTAAAGAGCTAACCCCACCAGGGAAAGCAGCCACCCATGGAGTGTGGGATTCCAATTGAGCCCATGCTGTGTGTGGCTCTCCCAGTGTGTATTCCGGGCAAGAAAGTCTGTGGAAGGCCATTTAGACTAATTCCAGGTACCAGTGTTATATTCTGTGGTCCCTGCCCAAGTCTTTTAAAGTAAATGGAGGGCATCCTTGCCAGCTGTTAGCTATTCTAGGAAGCCCGGAGGCCGGCAGACATTCCTGTTTGGGCTGGAGGTCTAGCCAGGGAATCCAGAAACCTCCCAGAGCCCCTTGGCACCTTGGTTTATCTCTGACCTTTGAAAACCCAGTGTGCTGTTTCTTTTTTGCATGGGGCATAGAATATTTCAGAAAAGACTTTCCAGTCCATTTAATGAAAGTGCATTTTATCTGACTCTGGAATCAGGTTCACTTTAAAAGCTTGGACAAAATTCTGATTTTTCTTATCTTCAAAGGAGCAATAAACATTTGGTTTAAGTAAAGACATCACTTACTTAACTAGTACCAAAACCACATTCCTGCCAAATTTGGATGGTGGGATTTCCAACTTTTTCCATTTACCTGGGATAGTCTCTGGAGGATGGAGCACATCAGGCCATCCTGCAAGAAGGTGGATTCTTCCTACTGAGAATGGGACTCATAATTGTTGCCTAACCACAAAAATTCAGCGCCCTGTTGCCTTGTTGTGAATCAATAATGTAGAGGTGTTTGTTGCAATACTCTGCCCTAATTAGGATTTAGAACTGCTGTCCCAGAAGAAGATGCAGTTGAATTTCAGGAAGAATTTTCTGTATTTATGGAAAGAAGTGGGAGGAGCCCCTGTAACTAACAGGAAGGGAAGTCTCTTTCCTGTTTACACCCCCGAGTGTCTAGATTTTTCAAAAATGGTATTGGAAAGGAATCATCTCCAGTGACACAGGGCCCCCAACTTCGACTTTTAACTGGTAATTAGCATTTCTTATAAATCTCAATTTGACATACCACAGAACTCATGAGCCGCATCATTCTGACTCAAAGCTAAAGGTAGTTTTTTTTGAAACTGTAAAAATGTACCGTCAGGCCCTCCCTGGTGGCGCAGCAGGTTAGGACGCAGCACTGAGAAGCTTAAGCCACTTCAGCTGGTTTTCTATCCCCGCCTGCCCTGGTAGGTGACCACATGGCGTTACAGACCTCTCCTGACCCGCCTGCTGCTCCCCTCAGCAGTGTACTTCATTGATCTGCCTGTTCTGCTCCCCACTCTGTCTCTGGTGAATCCTCTCACTGCCCCTGCACCTCTGGCTTGTACCCCAGTTCTGTATGAAAAAATACATACATCTTTAAAAAAAAAATGTACTGTCAAAAGCTATTCTCAGACTTAAAATTTTCAGTTGGAACAGATGTTGCTAGTTCAGAAAGTAGGCTGTGCAAGAGTTGATATAACTCTGAAGTTCAAAAAAAAGAAAAGCTGATGGGAGATCTGTTGATCCAAATTCAAACCCTTGAACTGTGAAACATTCAGGAGAAAAGGCACAGCGCTGAGGTAAGGTACAAAAAATGTACAGGCTCAATCACTCCTAGCTCAGATTATCAAGGACAGATGCATACAGGCAAGTAGACTAAGTAACTCCAAGAAGACTTACAGCTTCCTAGGAGTCTAGAAAATCTGATTGTTTGCCAGAGAAAGGACTGTCCTGAAGTTTCTTGTCACTGCTAGTCTCCTTGTCGCCTTTTACAGTAAGCTCCCTGTATGTTTGATGAATGGGTTAACACTTAAGTGAACCGTGGGATGTATTATTTGCCTTTTAAGTTCTTTTAATGTGACATTGTCCTCTTTCTTCTTATGCCAGCTTTTTAAAGTGTTTTAGTTTCAGTAGAGCTGAGATATTTAACCACATCTCAGTTCCAGCTGCTTTTCTTACAGTTTCTTACGTTTCCCTTTCTTCTCTCTAACCCTCCCACCCCTGCACAGTTAACAGGGACAGAAGGAACACTAATATTCTTACTCCCATGAAGACTATTAACACTAAATCATTGGGCCAAGTGAAGGAGGGGGTGGGGAGAAAAGTGTCACAGATAATATGATTTTCATTTTAGCAGTATTGTGTGTCTTTTTGTTGCTATGTTTATGCCAGTAATCGCTTTCTGTGGAGTAAGGCTAATGTTGACCAAAGCTTACTTGAAATTGAATGGCAGCCAATAAGTGTCAGACATTCAAATTTCCATAATTCTTAGTGATGCAGAAGTTACTGACAATTGCCTTCCCAAAAAAGGGTTTCATGTTTTTAAAAAGTCATGCATCTTTAGTTCCAAAGATAAAAGAACCAATGTTAATGTTAATGTTGGCCCAAAATAAAATTTAATTTAAATCTGTTAATTTAAAATAAAATAAAGATACTGACAGTTATAAAAACTAGCAGTATTAAGTGCCAGTCTTTCATAAAGGCCAGACTTAGATTGGAAGGTCATCTAAGACCAGACAGTGTTGACAAAGACAGGACACTCATTATTGTTGCATATTACTGAAGAAAGCATGTGTGTGTGTGTGTGTGTATAGGTGTCTTTGTATACGTGCGTGTATACACACACACACATATTACTGTTTTAAATCAGAAGAGGAATGTGGAAAATGAGGCGTGAAAGAAACCACCAATGTGTGGATACTGATATTAGTTTATTGATGACTGAGAGTTTTTTCAGCATGCTGAAGCAATGCACAGTGCATAGAATGGACTCCCATGCTTAAAAGTCAAATATATAAAAATACCAGTTGCACTGGAGACTTGAGACTTGAAAACTGACCATTCCAATTTATAACTGGATGATCTGCGATAATCCTTTGGTATGAAAAAGAAAATCATCCTAGAAGTTGAAAATTAATCAATTAGTGCCAAATAACAAAATCACATGGGAGTGATAACTGATGGAGAAAAGGATGCCTTTCAAAATATTAATGATGTGGTTTTTTTACTAAACAATAAAATTCAAGCTATCACATAGTAAACTTCTTAGGAGTTAGAGGGAGGGACCACTGGCCACTAGATTATCAAAGGAGCACACTCCTAACTAAGGGGTATTATTTTGAGGTCTTCTGGGAGAATAGAAGTGTACAGTCAGTGGTTTTGGTTACAGTATTTGTAATGCGCATGGTCAATTACAGGCCTGGCCTTGGGGCCTGGTAGCTGTGAAAGAGCCACTGAAGGAATCTATTGTTTTGCAATATTTAATTTTGGAAAAGATTTTCCGCAAAGTTTCTAATCTCTAGAATAATTGCATTGCATTGGCGGAGAATTGCATATTTTCAGATGATTTGTTCATGCAAATGGACTTCTTTTTTTTTTTTTTTTGCAGTTGCAGACCCACAAATAATCCTTGTATAATTCTGCAGGAGTTGATATGAGAGATTTTGGAAGACTCAGTAACAGTGGCTATATAATCACTTTCTCTTAGAGGATATTCAAGCTCTCACTTCAGATAATCTGAGTCTTCATTTACTTTTAAATTAAAAAAATGGGAACAGCATTTATGCCAGGTGCACTGGCCTTCCCGCCAACAAATGGAATCTGTAAAGTTGATGGGGTTAGTACCTGCAACCCAACAAAATGAATATGGGAAGGATTTCCTTCCAGTTAATTATCAGTTAGCTCCTTGGTGTTCACATGCAGAAGAGATGTGGTATCTAACCCTGACTTTGTTTTCTGTTTATTCTAGAAGCCTTCCCAGCTTTCGGAGGATGCTGTCCGGCTAAAGATCGAGAGAGAAAACTGTAGTGCCAACCTCCCGGAGCCTGCTCCCAGCTCTCTTCCCCCAGATAATAAAAACATGGAAATTGAGGTCTCTGTAGCAGAATGTAAAAGTGTTCCTGGCATCAACTCTCCGTCACATTCGCTGGACCACCCCTCCCCTTTCTATTCTCCTCCCCAGAATGGCCTCCTCGATGATCACCACGAATCTCTGGATAACGATGTGGCTCGAGAGATCCGCTATCTAGACGAGGTGCTGGAGGCCAACTGCTGCGATTCTGCTGTGGACGGAACCTACAACGGCACGTCCTCCCCAGAGCCCGGGGCAGCCGTCCTGGCGGACAGTCCCAGCCCCCCTGCGCACTCAGCCCAACAGCCAGAACCCACTAAGCGGGCCCCTGGCAGGCCGGCCCCGCCTCACATTGAACTCAGTGAAAGCCCCTCTGGCACCATGGCAGAGGGTGGAAGGGTCAACGGCCACTCCCCTGAGCGGCCCAGGGATGTGCTGGGGGACAGCCTGCAGGCACCTGTGAGCCCCAGCTCCTCCACCAGCTCCCGGGGCTCGTCCCGAGATGGGGAGTTCACGCTCACCACGCTGAAGAAGGAGGCCAAGTTTGAGCTGCGTGCCTTCCATGAGGACAAGAAGCCCTCCAAGCTCTTCGATGATGATGAGCGTGGCAAAGAGCAATACTGTGTCAGGAAAGTGAGGCCTTCAGAGGAGATGCTGGAGCTGGAAAAGGAGAGGAGGGAGCTCATCCGGAGTCAGGCGGTGAAAAAGAACCCTGGCATCGCGGCAAAGTGGTGGAACCCTCCCCAGGAGAAGACCATCGAGGAACAGCTGGACGAGGAGCATCTGGAGTCGCATAAGAAGTACAAGGAGCGAAAGGAGAAAAGGGCACAGCAGGAGCAGATGCTAATGCAGCAGCAGGTACAGCAGCACCCCCCACAGCCCCCGCCACTACTCTGCACGGCCCCCGCCTCTGGCTTGATGGAAAATGCAAAGGAGGACATCGTCACCGAGCAGATAGATTTCTCTGCGGCTCGCAAACAGTTCCAGCTGATGGAGAATTCCAGGCAGCCTGCGGCCAAGGGCCAGAGTACACCCCGGCTCTTCTCCATCAAGCCCTTCTACAGGCCTCTGGGGTCCCTCAACTCAGACAGGCCTCTGACCGTTTCGAAACCAGCCTCTGTCAGGGCTGCTCCCGAAGACAGTGGCTCGTTGGCGACCAAGGAGCAGCGAGCTAGCCCTGGCCCCGAGAGCAGCACTCCTCAGGGGAAGGAAGGGTCGTGTGGCGAGCCCTCCAAACGCGGGCCCTTGCCCAAGCCGTGGGCAGAGGACGGTGAGTTTACGAGCGCCCGGGCGGTCCTCACCGTGGTCAAGGATGATGACCCTGGGGTTTTGGATCAGTTCTCAAAGTCAGTCAATGTCTCCTTGACCCAAGAGGAGCTTGACTCTGGTTTGGATGAGTTGTCAGTGAGGTCCCAGGATACCACCGTCCTGGAGACGCTGTCCAATGACTTCAGCATGGACAACATCAGTGACAGTGGGGCCTCAAACGAGACCACCAGCGCCCTTCAGGAAAATTCACTGGCCGATTTTTCTCTGCCCCAGACTCCCCAAACCGACAACCCCTCAGAAGGCCGAGGAGAAGGTGGCTCCAAGTCGTTTAGTGATCACGGTTTCTATTCCCCATCCTCCACGCTGGGCGACTCTCCATCCATGGACGACCCCTTGGAGTATCAGGCTGGCCTCCTGGTGCAGAACGCCATCCAGCAAGCCATCGCTGAGCAGGCGGGTGGAGCTGTGTCAGAAACCAGCAAGGGTGTCGCACACAGGCAGGGACCTGAAGCTAGAACTGGCCCTCCCAGCTCAGAGAAGCCCCAGAACATGTTTGAGCCACCTCAGGTGTCCTCTCCTGTTCAAGAGAAGAGGGATGTATTACCAAAGATCGTGCCTGCTGAGGACAGGGCACTCAGGGAAAGGGGAACCTCCCAGCCATTGCCAGCAGTGCAGTCCAGTGGCCCAATAAACATGGAGGAGACCAGACCGGAAGGCGGCTACTTCAGCAAGTACTCAGAGGCAGCTGAGCTGCGAAGCACGGCCTCACTCCTCGCCACTCAAGAGTCTGATGTGATGGTTGGGCCCTTCAAGCTGAGGTCAAGGAAGCAGCGGACTTTGTCCATGATCGAAGAGGAAATCCGAGCAGCCCAGGAAAGGGAAGAGGAGCTCAAGAGGCAGAGGAGAGTCTTGCAGAGTGCCCCGAGCTCCAGGGCCAAGAACGCCCTGTCCCTGCCCTCCCGGACTTCCTGCTACAAGACAGCCCCGGGTAAGTGAGTGCCGCACACCTGAGGCAGGTGTGGTGGAAATTGGCTCGTTTCAGCTTACAGGTGTCTGTGTGGAGCTGTGTATGGGGCTGGAGTCACAGTCTGGGGGCACCCCCTAGGAGGTGAGCACTAGGGCTGTGCAACAAGAATGGGGGAGCCTTTCTTTCTGAACGAGCCCCGGGCCTGGGTGGCGTTTGCCTCTTTCCCGAGGATGCACTCACTCCTTTTTTTTTTTTTTTTTCATTTTGCTCTGGCCTTGTGTGGTACAGAGAATTGTTTTCTTTTATTTGAAGGAGCTGCCTCCTGGCTGCAGGAGGGGTCTGTGTGTGGACTGGGTGGTCACCATCAGTGTCTGTAGTTAAATTGGTGCCCTCTGATTTGGGGGATATGCGCTACTCGCCCCTGAATACGGGTTCCCTTCCCTGTAATGACAGTCTGATCATGGTGTTGTGGAGTAGCCCATAGAAGACTATTTTCTATATAATTTTGTCTTTAAAAAAAAAAAGATTTATTTATGCATACAGAACTGGGGTACAGGCCAGAGGTGCAGGGGCAAGACACAGAGTGGGGAGCAGAACAGGCAGATCGACAAAGTACACTGCTGAGGGGAGCCGTGGGCGGGTCAGGAGGGGTCTGCCGCGCCATGTGGGTCACCTCCCGGGCTGAGGATCCAACTTTAACCTGCTGCGCCACCAGGGAGCGCCTACAGTTTGTTTTCTTTTCAGTCAGCGCAAAGCACTGACTTTGGAATTGGGGCGGGGTCTTGTCCACTCTTGGCTGGGACCCCATTGGGGTTAAGTTCCTAGAGCTAAATAAAGACAGGGCTTTATTCACCTCCCATTGCCTTGATGGGCCCAATTTTGAGTACTTGGTAGGGAGGGTTCATGTTAGAGTGGTAGTTACTGTTGTTACTACTCAGGATGGTGGTTAGTTTTTATTTCCCACTTGGGTGGGCTGGCAGCTGGATCCATGCACCCTGCCTCAGGGAGGTGTTGCTCCAAGTCTGGGCCGAAGCCCATGAGCTGTCGGCTGGTTGTTCATGGTGAGATGGCTGCAGATATTGAGAGTAAGTGCTTGCAAATTCGCATAGCAATTTGGCTGTCTTGAAATCCAGGTGTGAGACTTGACTTGCATTACTCCTGTCATCGGTGGCATTGAACTTGCTCTGTTTACATCTTAATCCTGGTGCCAGGTAACTCTTCTCTTTATTAATTTTGGAAGTTTGAAACAATCTCAGACCTGAAGAAAAGTCCCCAGGTCTGGTACCAATATCTTTTTGACTCGGAACAATTGGAGAGCCAATTCCCAAATTATGCTCCATCACCCCCTTTTCTGTGGAATGTTCCTCATTTTGGGTCTGCCTGATGCTCTCACACAACTGCATTCAAGTTATGTGTCCTTGTAGGGAAGCCAGAGGAAAAGCCTTATTCTACGGAGCCAGGTCGTACCTAGTATGGATTTGTCTCATGATGAGGACAGACACTGGTTTGCTTCACGTGATGCTGATTTCCATCGCCCAATTGGGGGAGTACCTGCCAGGCTATGCACTGTCAACTTACCTTTTCCTTTTGGAATTAATAACTATTCTGTGGGGAGTTCCTTTGATGTCCTATCAATCTCATCTTACTTACCAAACATTTTATCTGTCATCTATTTAAGTCTCTACTGTCTCGAATTTCCTATGAAATTCAATGGGTTGTAATCCACTCTTCTCATTATTTTTATACTTCATTTGCTCAGCTATAGTCCTGGGAGCCCTTTTGAGCTACATTCAGTGTCCTTTTGACACGTCACCTTTTTCTTTGAACATAACCTTACTTTCTGGCACCAGGAAATGTTCCATCTGATCTTATTTTTTCCTAATCCTGAACATAGCCAATTCTACAAAGAACACTAGTATCCTTAGGGGGGAGCAGTGTTCATAAACCAAGATCTGCATGCTTGGTGTTCATTACAATTCAATCATGATTGTTCGCAGACACTTTGTATCGATGGAACTAGAGACCATGCACATGACTGGTGTGTGTCCGTCCATCCATCCAGCAAACTACCTACTTACCTGTCACAAGAACCATGAGCTCATCTCAATACTTTTAATTCTAACCTAATCACAAGGTTCACATTCTCTTCCACATTTGTAACCACCTTCTTAATATAAAATACCTGATTTCTATTACCCTCAGTATGTTTATTATTCTATCAGTCTTCTCCTGACACTTGTGTAACTAATCTCTTGGTTTCCTCACCAAATTTTGGCTCCAGTATCACTTTTTTTTTTAAGACTTATTTATTTATGCATACAGAACTTGGGTGCACGCCAGAGGTGCAGGGGCGGCGAGAGGCTTCACCAGAGACAGAGCGAGGAGCAGAGCAGGCAGATCGACGATGTACACTGCTGAGGGGAGCAGCGGGCGGGTCAGGAGAGGTCTGCCACGCCATGTGAATCACCTCCGGGGCCGGGATCGAACTCATGCGAGTGGCTTTAGTGCTGTGCTTCAATCCGCTGCACCACCAGAATCACTTTTTAGGTGGCCACTAGATGATCACCCTTCTTCCCCAACTTGGGCTCCAGCCCTGAGTCACATCCTTTCCTTGGCCCCTCCTGCCTCTACTCTGGCTCCATTACACCACTCTAGGCCGCTGTGTCTCTTCCCACATATCCCACTCCCCTCAGACACCACCCTGTCACCCCACCAATGACCTTTAGACTAAACTGCTAAGGAAGGAAAGTGAAGGTGAGAGGAAAAAGAGCACTGACTTTCTTGATATATACTCTTAAAATTATTTTAGGTAATACAGCAACTGAGCGTTTGAGGCTAAGAAAATTTGCAGGGGGAGGTTTTATGGGGGGTCCTTGCTTAACCAAGACTGGTTGACTTCGTTGTCAAATTACTTTTAAATTCTGTGGGCTTAGCACAGAGATGCAGTTAAGCATTGTGTACAGTATCTTAAACATTTTATGCCTCTTGAATTCAACTCAGTCTGAATCTTACTTCACAAGTTAAGTGGCTAAATGGCTTGTAGAAGAGCCCGCAGTCTGATGGAGGAAGGTTCAGCTTCTCGTATTCACATGGAAGGCAAGCCTTTAGGACCATTCCCTGGGTATTTTAAAGTACCGTTTTTCAGTGTCACTGCCTTTCAAGTAGGAGGATTATAGTTTCTTTCTCCTATAGTGATAGCTGGCTGGAGCTACCGAACCCTTCCTTTCCACTAGTTCACTCTGGAACCTTCTCAGTAGTACATATACTCAGTGGATCTTTTCTGTTTCTCTTATTACCTCTTAATTGAATCCCTCTCCACATTGCATCCTTGACTTCTCATATGTGAGCGATTGGCAAACGATTGTGTGATATAAAGACTTTTCCACACTTTCCTGTACATCCCTGGCCCGCTGGTTTCCGCCAGGCTCTCCCACCAGACTTAAAACAAGTTAAGGTCTTCGTGCTGACCCCAGCAGCCCAGTTCCAGTTCCCTTGGCACTCCCCTCTGTACTAGAATGGATTTCGAGTCTGTACTCCACCCCCTGAATGCTGCGCCCTTGTCTAAGAAGGTAATTGGTCTGTCTTCGCAATGAATAGTCAAGATGATGACACCTGTGCAGCTCACTCCTTCACATTTATCTCTAGGACAGTTAATTAGGTGTCAAGGCTTCTCGGAATCACAACGCAAGTGAAAAGAAACTGAGTGCAACATACAGTTTTCTATCCTTGCCTGGAAACCTTTGGAGTATTGCTTGGCCACTCAGTCTCCAAGTTCAGGGAAGAGGCTGACACACCAGTGCGAGCATCCAAACTGGGTGATCCATGGCCAGAGTCAGATGGGCTGGCTCCAATTTAGGTTTTGTGAATGGAGAGGCGCTACTCCCCATCTCATGCCAGTAGAGGTGACTCAGCTGCTTTGTTACATGACTCAGATCAGTGATTCAATACTGGGTGATGAAAAATGTAATTTTTAATTTCTCCTTGAGTAGAAATCATGCTGGAATCCTAAAAGCTTAGAGCATATAAAAGCTACTTAGAGTCAGAAAGTATTAAAGAAAGAGAAATCTACTAATTCTTCACATTAAACATTATGCAGACATTAGGACCATTCCCTGGGTATTATAAGTATTGTTTTTCAGTTTCGCTGCCTTTCAAGTAGGAGGATTATAGAGTTTCTTTAAAAGGATGTAGTCTTTTTCAAAGACCATTTATAAGGAAAAGTCATCAGGGAATATTATCTTATTGGTCCTTATTTTATTTTTATTTTTTTACAGATGTACTTATGTATGCAAGAGCTGGGGTACAGGTCAGAGATAAGGGGTTGGTGGTGAGAGGTCACCAGCGACAGAGTGGGGAGCAGAACAGGCAGATCTACTGAAATACACTGCTGAGGGGAGCAGCAGGTGAGACAGGAGAGGTCTGCTGTGCTGTGTGGGTCAGCTCCCTGGTGGGGATCAAATCCATGCTGCAGAGGCTGTGGATAACTTCATAGTACTGGGATTCAACCCCTTGTGTTACCAGGGAGGCCCTCCTTATTTGATTTTTAAGGTAAGAGTGTCCATTTATATAAGGTCTGTGTGACCTTTGCTCTTACAGAGATGAACAGGGCAAGTGCTGGCCTTTCTTGGGGAATTTACAGTTCAGCAATAGAAACATCTAGCAAAGGTGTCAATTTGCTGACAGAAGCATGGAGACCTGAGGGAGCAGAGTAAGGAAGACCACCTCGCTGGAAGGATAAGAAGTCTTCTTTCCTTGTGAAAGTACCAACTGAGCTGAGAACTGAAGGAGTGGAAGTTGGACCCAGAGAGTGGGGAGAGATTGTTCTCATGGATGGGACCTCACCTAAGAGGTCCCAAAAGGAATGGAGAACTTGGCAACATTTGAGGGATCAAAATAAGGTCAGGGTGGGTTGAAATAAGGAGTTAAAACAAATCAAAGTTGCTTTGGAGCCAGACAATTAGGAACAGTTTAAGTATGTTAAAGGTATTAAAGTTTAGACGTTATCCTGTAGGTCAGTAGGG